CCGTGGGGCATGTAGCGACTAGAGGCAGGGCGTGTTCAGCTGCTACCAAATAAGGCCTAGCTTACGTATTTTTCAAAATCAATCACAGGTCTAGTGCTGTAAAAATATGTTTATTTATGAATCTTTATGCGTTGCTATTGGTCGTGGCATCTCCGGCCCCTGCTTCGCCTCGGGAGCGACCTGCCCCACGGCGAAAACTTTTGCCTGACACCTCCGTAGGTCCATGGTCAGAGCAGCAGCAGAGAAGGGGCCAGGCGTCCGTTAGGCGTCAGGCAGCAGGGCAGGCGGCCATGGTCATGGATGGCATCGAGGATGACGGACGGGCAGAGGAGGAGAAGGGCTGTGTGTGTGGGCGGACACGACGCGCGCGCATCTCGCAAAACCGAATCCACCGACATGGTGCAGCGCATATCGTGTGTGTTGTGTTGTGCGGAACTTGTGCGTCGAGCTCCGCACTGCTGCTGGCAACTGGGATCAGCAGAAGCCTCCATTTCGAGACATAACAGACCAACTTTGGACCAGGGGACCGGCGGCCCAGTATCACCGCCAGCCGACCCGGCCGTCACAGCCAGCCAACCAGCCAGCCAGCAGGAGGGCGGCACCGCTCTGGTCTTTGCGTGGCCGTGTCGGGGGGTTGCAGAAATGGTGGCAGCAGGCTTGGACCCGCCCTCCCTTCATCCTTCAGCTGTGGCGACCTTGCATGCGAATGGCCCCTCACGTGCACACGCCTGGCCCGCCGGATTCGATTGGTGCGATCACCTCGATCACCGGGAGGCCGAGAATAAGGAGGACCGACTGACTTGATGAAGGTATAGTGCCACTCGCACTACTTGATTATTGCTAGGTACGTAGTACCACGTATGGGCGTGTGCACGCGCTTGGCTGCGTTGGTGGGAGGAGGGAAATCCTAGCGGAAAGGGGACGGTTCCATGGCCATCAAATGAATTGGATGGATGGGTGCGCGCAGCGGATACGGACGGCACGCGCGCACGCCAGGCTGAGACCGGACTGGTGCTGGGCTGGCCTCGCTCGGGCGGTCGCCTCCAGACAGAAGAGGATCAGGTCGGTTGCGGGGGTGGGAGGGCTCCGCGCCCGGCGCTTTCGCTGCGGCGGCATGCTGGCTGCGGTGCCTGCTGCTCCTGGCTGGGCCCTTTCGCTCGCTCGGAGCGAGCGGCTTTCCAAATTGGCCGCGCTGCTTATTGATTGCTGGCGCTGCGTCCATGTTATGTGGACCCCCCCTGGCGGCCTGACCTTGACACCCCCGCCTCGAGTACGGCCAAGATTGCTGGCGAGTGACGAGCCAGAAAAAGGAGGTGCTCCCGCCCCGGCCGCATCCAAAATAATACGTCTACCCCACTGTGCCTGCCCCACGCCACCTATCCGCAAGGAAAACGCCGTTCAGCACCTGCCTGGGCCAACCCAAAACCTGCCGAGCTTTTTTTTTTTTTTTTTCTTTTCGTCTTGCCAGTCACCACATCAAATCCGCTGCTCCACATCAAACGCTCTCTCGCGCCCCTCCTCCCCTTATTGCCTCGAAAGAACCTCCACACCTGGAGAGACTCCCAGACCGCAACGAGGCCAATGCCTTTGGCCCGGTCACAAACGCACACCTGGCAGGCAAAGCCTAGCCTAGGTTAACTCTGGGCTGCACATCGACGCCGTTGCTGCATGCAGCCATGCATGCATCCATCATGGATATGTACGAGTGAGGCATGGGTCGAGTTTTCGTTGATTCCAGGCGCCCTGCCCTGACTTGTGTCTCGTGTGTATTGGCCGCCCTCGCCATGCCCAGGTAGGCCAGACCCTTTTCCCATATCGTCGGCAACACGGCGGCATCAGCAGGCGCTGCGTCGGAGACAACATGGCAAGTCATCCCGAGCGGCGGCGGCCCATCATGTCCTGCGGCCTGGTCTCATTGCTACGGCCCTCGGCTGCCGACCGACTGACCGCGATAATCACGCATGGTGTGGGGTCCCGTTTTCCATGGAGGGCGGGACCAGGGGGTGGGGGGTCCGAAGGGGACCAGCTGGCAGGGCAGCTCGAGGGCAGGGCGTCTGAGACAGGGCTCTTGGTGGCCATCACCTCGCAGCCCAGAGCGACGCCTGGGGCTGCCTGGTGACAGGGGTGGACCGTCCGACAAACACATGCCGAAAAGGGAGCTGAGCGCGCTCTGTTTCGTACCATGGCTTGCATGGTACCCGTGGCTCTTGCCCGCCCATGGACGGACGCTGTGTTTCTCCTGCGAATAAGCCGGTCAAAGGTGGAGCTCGAACAGGCGGACAGGGTCCCATGGGGTCCGTCCCTCACTGTCTCTCTGCACGCTGCGCTCCCCACCCATCATCCCCTCGGCCCTTGTCCCTGTCATCTCCACCCGCACGCAACACCTTTTTTATCTTTTGTGTTTTTATTCTCCTTCCAGAACCACCCTCGGCAGGGGTCCGTCGCCAGTGGCGCAGAGAACGAGACCGGCGCCTACTAGGTACATCCAACACGGTAGTAGTTGCTGCGTTGCCCGCCTTAGGACCGTCGCACGCACGGGGCTGGCTGGCTGCTGGCCGCTGGCCAGACCAAGGCAGGGAGCAGGTGGGGAGTGGGCGAACCAGGGGCGTGAGTCCAAGGAGGACCGTCAGTCGTCATGGTGCACAGTTGTATCCCATCCCCCGGAACCGACACACAATGTACACACGACGCAACTCCGTACGGTACCTGGCCTGGCTGCGCGGGAGGACGGGGACCAAGTGTGTGTGTACTACACAGCACAATGTGTGTGTGTGTGTGTGTGTGTGTGTGTGTGCTCGCTTAGAAGCCCGCCAGCGAGCACCTGAGGAATCCGCCGCCACAGCCTCGCTCCCATGTCGGACAGGTAGCCGGCGGCTTCTGGCCCAAGGCGGGCTTATTTCCGGCTAGCGAGGCAACGGCTGGCATTCGCAGGCGGAATAATAGCAACCACCATCCAAGCGCTGTCACCCGTGTGGTGCACCGGGCGCCGTGAGCGATTAGGTTGGGGTTGTGACGGCGCACGCAGCCGCCTCTGATCAAGCGCCTCCTCCTCTCATGCATCCTCCGAGGCCATCCAACCCTACCGACCCAGCCGTACCCACGCAGCGAGGGACGTGGGTGCGGTGGCGTGGCAGCATGTTGAGTTGACCGCAACCCGGCCTTCTGCTGACTGGGCAGAACACCACGTCCATGCTGCGCGCCAGGGTCTTGCAGCCCCCTGCTGCCACCTACCCTTGGCTTGGTCAAGTCGCCGTGCGCCGCCCACGCTGGATAATATTGGCCGGCCCATCACACGCAGACCAGTTCCCATTTTTATTGCTTTCTTTTTTCCTTTTTGCCCTTCTTTCCGTCTTCTTTTTGCGCCGTCCCCATCCATCCACAACCTCTGCAACCCGGTCTGATCCACCACTTTTTCTGGGACAATCCACAAGCACCCCCAGCCTCACACTCCCCCATCTCCGAGCCTGCGGCCTGGGAAGGGAAAAAGAGACTTTCTATGGCTGGCACCCGGTCCCCCCATCCTTGCAATGTACCTTTTTCTCACCAGGCCCAAGGTGAAGTCAAGGCAAGGCATGCCATGGCATCCCTGCTGCCGCCATATGACGCAGCAGAAACAACTCCAACGCTATTATCGTTCCTTTGAGCCACACGCACCCACACGCTCAGGTTGACAAGACACATACATGCCAATCCGCCCCGTTTGATTTATTATTCCCTTGGTTCCAACATGCCGACCATGCCCATGTTGCTTCCCTACGTACTAGCCCGAAATTTTTCACGGGCCTCTCCACTTCCCCGTTTGCTTCCGCCCCTGGCACTTGAGCCTTGATATACCTTCCAGCTTCGCACCCCCTCCCGTCGTGCCCACCTCTGTTTTCTATATCATCCCACGCTCAACTTTACCACCATACCCAACACTACTCCCACCACCATAGTTGATAACCTGTTTGCAACCACCATAATCTCTCAACAACAACAACAACACCATTATCTCTCATCTTCATCTTCTATCACCACCTTTCAAGATGATGCCCATGACTTCGTACATGGGCCCAAACCTCGTTGGCGGCCATTCTCCCTTCAGGCATGACGCCTTCCTCGACGACATCTCAAGGCAAATCAGCATGTCTCAACAGACGAGGAGATATTCGCGCAGCTCCAACGGACAGCCTGCACACTCCCATAGCCACAGCCACAGCCACAGCCAACACGCCGGCAACGCGATGCGGGTAGTGAAGCCCTCTACCAGCGCAAACAACAGTCCGAGGTCGGCTCTCATGCAGGCTAGGAGGAGAACTATTGTCAACGATGGTCTGCTGGCGAGGAGGAATCAGCAACTACTGGAGCAGGCCCTGATTCCTAGTCCCGCGGTCGAGACGACATATGTCGACCCCACGAAGCGGGCAAGCCGCCCCGTCAGCTGGCACCCTTCGACCCAGATGGCACAGCTTCCGCAGCAGCAGTTTTACGCATACCAGCAGCCCCAGCAGACGTCGCCTCTGACGCAATATCCTTTCCCCTCGTACAGCGAGGTCGACATCTACACCCACTATCAGCCGCAGTTTCCCCCGACGCCCGCGGCTTTCTCTGGATACAGCTCCCCCACTGCCTTCTCGCCACTGTCGCTGCCCTACTCGACCTTCGACGCCCCCCAGTACACACTGAGGGACGAGTGGACCGCAGCCCCAGCCCGGCCATCCAAGGCGGCCGTCTCGCCCACATCCGACTGCCCGGAGCTGGATGAGCAGAGCACCAAGGCACCGTCGAGCACTCTGTCCGAGGCCGCGGCGCATTGGGCTGCCTTCACCCAGAACGGATTCGAGAAGGACGCGGCCTCGCCCCCTACTCCGCAGACGTACCCGGTGGCCCTTGCCCCCGAGCCCGTCATCTCGTCAGAGCATAGCGGCTCTTACGGCCAGCTCGAGGAGGAGGAGGAAGAGGAGGAGGGGGAGATTCTCATTGGCATGGGACTTTACGACCCGCCCGAGAAGCCCCTGACCGACTCGACCCTCGACGTCTACCACGCCTCTGTTTCCCAGCTCCTCGGCTCCTCCTACAACTGCCCCGAGCCCACGGGCAAGGGGCTGAAGCTCGAGGACGCATGGGAGCCCCCGGTGAAGGAGGACGATGACGATGAGGATGGCGACGAGGACGCCGAGGGTGAAGAGTCGGAGTAACTGGTGCATAAAAACCATCTCTTACCCGACGACCACACATCAGATGTTGCGGACCATCGTTTCCGCATCTGATGTGTGTACATCTTGGGAGCTCTGCTCTCACAACTCACTGTACATAAATCATGACATAAGCGTGCATGGCGCAGCCGGCGAGCCGCCAAGGAAAGGTTCTGGATTTAGCATGGGCGGCGAATACCTTTTTTTTTTTTCTTTTCTGCCTTTTCTTTTTCTTTTGGGACAACACTTTGGGATACGGGATTATATTGGCTGGCAACGGATTGGACGGATGAATGGCTCGGACTCGATACCCAAACAGCTGTTGGCAACAAAGGAGTTTTTGATTATATTTTATCCCTCAGGATGGCTTCATCGACGGCTGCAATGGTTGATATCATAATTTTATCGTGGGTGTCTGTCACAGTGAAACATACGCGGCACCAAAAACAACAAAAAATCATACTATGCGGTGGCTTGTTTGATGGAGGCTGCGATGGTCAGGAAGGAATGAAAAAAAAAAAAATGAAAAAAAAGGGGGTGAAAGAAAAAAAAAACTTGCGCATCTGACACCTCACGGCACAATCATGTGCGCGCACCGCCCATCATGGAAGATGCCAGGGCGGCAATAGAGTGGAGGAGGGACGGGTGGGGTGGCTCGACACACGAGCAGCGGCGAGGTCCTGAAAGGGGAAACAGAAGGGGGATGGGGGGGTGTGTATCGGCGATCCGGGTGATTTTTTCTTTTTTGTTATTGGATCCTCCCCGTTGAAGCACGGGCCAGCAACCCGCGATCTCTCCCGAATCTGAGATGGGAAGAGCAAGCGGGCCCCCTGGGCTGTGGGAAAGACAGTTGCCAAGGATGGGCGAAGGGGGGTGTGAGTGTGGGCGTGAACTGTGGATGTGGGGTGTTGTGGATCGGCTGGGGGTTTTTTGTGTGTGGTGATGAGAGAGAGGAACCTTCTCGTCGCCGCCCACACACCCCTCCCCTTCTCCAGAGCGGAACTCTTTCTGTCCTTCGTCGCTTCCTGCGCAGGGCCAGGACCCTAGGGGTTTTCTGGGTGGGCCTCTCCCCCCCCGCCGATGACCAGGGCATTTTTTGGAGGAATGGGCATTCGAGCCGGTTGGGGTGCAGAGCCGCGCGAGCGACCACCCACCCTTGCCAACAGCTAACCCCTGTCCATCCCGTTTCTTTTCTCTCCCTCTCTCTTTCGTTTTTTTTTCTCTCTCCCTTTCTCTTCGATGTGGGACCCGGGCTCCATCCATCCATGCCCGCCTGTGGGTTCCATCAACTGGAAGCGAAGGGTGGCTGGGTGGGGTTTTTGTTGTTCAATGGCCCGAGCTTTCGTTCACCCATTTCTTTTTTTGTCTTTCTTTCCTTTTCGCTTCCCTTTTCCTTTTTGCTTTTGCGGTTGGCCAAAGCCAAAACATGGAATGCCTTTTGGAAGGTCTTTCGTAGTGCATTGTAGGAGGTCCCCTGCCGGGCTGGCCTTCTCTCTCCCTTCTTTTCCATATCCCCTACCGCCTATTTTTCCGTTCGTTCAATGCTTTGAAGCGGGTCGGGCGGAAGGAGCCACTACGGTTGACGGTGACATGACACACACACACCTGCTTTTGCCTGGACGCCCCCTGCTCCCCGGGGCGCTTCCCATTTTTCCCTTTTGGCCCTCGACGCACACACCTTTCTCTCTCCATGCATAGCCCTCACACCCCTCTATCCGAACCCCCACCCCCCTCTCTCTCGTCTCCGCGTAATACATACATAACCCTTGACCTGCCCGCACGGCTTTGCCGTCGGGTGTCAGGGGAGCGTGAGGGAAACAGGAAAAAGAAAGCTCCATGGTGGCGACGACCTTTGGGCGTTGGCGCTGGGCGGGCTGGCTGGCGCGGGCGACCTTTTTTTTTTTTCTTCTTCTTTTCCTCATGCTTCCTTCACAAACAAGCTGCATCGCCTAAAAACAGAACAACCGATTCAAGGACCGCTGCGGCCCCCTCCGATGCACCACTGCAACCGCTCGCACCTGGGCGGAGGATGCGACGCTGAGTCGCCTGCCCACGCCCTTGTCCGTGTTTGTCGCCAACCGCTGGCTTGCTGCCCCCCCAGGCCTTGCTTGGTGTTGCGTCCCCCTCCCCCCAAGCAAGCAAAAGCAGGAGGGCGCGTGCGAGGCGACATCAGCAGGGTTACAGCGTCCCCATCCAAATTCATACCCATCAGCCCACCTTTTCGGTCCGGGGACACCGCCCGCCCGCTCTCGGTTGCTCTGCCCGCTTCCTGCTGCTTGTGATCCCTTATCTCTCTCTCGTTGGGTTCAAGACAAGGCCGCCCCCC